GCAGTTGCATGATCTCGGCTCACTGCAAGCTCCACCTCCCAGGTTCACACCATTCTCCTGCCTCAGCCTCCCGAGTAGCCGGGACTACAGGCGCGTGCCACCATGCCCGGCTAATTTTTTTGTATTTTCAGTAGAGATGGGGTTTCACTCTGTTAGTCAGGATGGTCTCAATCTCCTGACCTCGTGTTGCACCATCCTTGGCCTCCCAAAGTGCTGGGATTACAGGTGTGAGTCACTGAGCCCAGCCTGGTGAATTAATTTTAATTCTGGCTGGGTGTGGTGGCTGACACCTATAATCCCAGGGCTTTGGGAGGCCAAGGGAGGCAGATCACTTGAGGTCAGGAGTTCGAGACCAGCCTGGCCAACATGGCAAAATTCTGTCTCCTAAAAATACAAAAATTAGCCACCCATGGTGGCGCACGCTTGTAATCTCAGATATTCGGGAGGCTGATGCAGTAGAATCGCTTGAACCAGAGAGACAGAGTTTGTAGTGAGCCGAGATTGTGTCACTGCACTCCAGTCTGGGCAACAGAGTGAGATTGTCTCAAAAAAAATAAATAAAAAATTTTTAAAAAATTCTAACACAAGACAAAGGAGCATTTTGATTCAACCAGTATTTATTAACAGCATGCCTGATTCTGCGGAAAGCAGACTTGAACCCTGGTCATTCCTACTCTCAGGGGCAGCATGTTAAGGATAGCAGCCTGCAAGTCTTATCTCTTAAACTCCACTTGTGTGTACACCTTGGTGACGTCACTGTACTTGCCTTCAGGGGGCTGGTAGTTAGGGATCGGTGGTGTGTAACATGGCCCTTCCCTCTCAAAGGGGAACAGGTTGGGATCCCGCTTGATGGCCTCAGCATGGAGCTTCGGGGACTCGAGTCGCAGTTCCTCAAGAGCTTCCTGCTGGGCTTCTAGCATGGCCCTGATGGTGTCCCTCTCCATCTTATGCTCTTGCTGCTTGTACAAGGACCACTTCTTCAGAAGCAGAGCTCTCCTCTCAGTCTCCTCAAAGGTGAGCTCCACCTGAGGCCGCTGTCTGCAAAGAAGCTAAGGGTTACCAACCTCACTGGCATGGAAGTCTGTGACTGCAACTGACGCAAGTATTCCCATTGCCAGACACAGACAGGACTTAGGAGATAAAACAAGTTTGGGACAAATTAAGAAATGGAATGTTGAATGTGGCTGCAGCTGCAACTGATGCTGGGAACCAAGGTCATTTGCTTTCTGTCAGAAGAACAGATGGTCTGAGGAGACTGGTAGGACTTCCTCTGCCCAGGCAAATACTCCCTTGGATGAGAGGTGACTTTAACACCCACCCCTTTATAGATGGTGCACACTGCTTACAAAATGGCAGCAGGAACTGTTAACCCTGCGCACAGTAGAATCCCAACAAATACCAACTAAAGGTATCTGCATGATAAAACAAGAGACCAAGTGTTTTCTACTGTTAGGATGAGGCGAGGGCTTCAGACTCCAGGCCCAAAGGATCAGAAACAGCCAAGACTCCTCATGCATGACAGCAAAAACATGAACTCCAGAGCAGTGCTTAAGCATCTGGATTATTAGATATCTTAAGTTCTTTCCCACCCAGAGCCATTCAAGAGTACCACCCAAGGATGCTTTCTCCTGCTCCCAAAAGAAGCAAGGACTCATTAGGGCCAAGTCAGCTCAAGCCTACTGACCAATTACTATCACAGGTGTGAACTACAGACACCACTACCTGAAGTTGATAGAACTCCTTTGTGCTGAGGACTTCATCCCTAGAGAAGGATCCTTACCTTGCTTTATCCAAGAACTTTAGAGGGGTAATAAAATCTTCAATAGGAATTAGCTCTTGACTAGCCTTTTCCAGTTTTCGGATCCTTCTTTTCAAGCGCTCCTTTGCTGCTTGGTCTTTTTTAGGATCTACCTTCTTCTTCTTTCGAAGAGGTTCTGATCTAATAGATAAAGCAAATATTAAACATTTTCCTCTTCAGTCTCATGAACCTACGGAGAGATAAAATGGTAAGTACCCCAAATTGACCTCTCCACTGGGGGAAGGGGCTGTGCATAACTGACTCGTGAGCTCAGCATGGTGAGGAGGTACTCCACCCCAGAGTACTTGTGAGAACTGTGTGGGTGCCATCAATTACACGAAACAGTACAAAAGCAGCTGGGCGCAGTGGCTCACGCCTGTAATCCCAGCACTTTGGGAGGCAAAGGTGGGCAGATTGTCCAAGGTCAGGAGTTCAAGACCAGCCTAGCCAACATGGCGAAACCCTGTCCCTACTAAAAATACAAAAATGAGCCAGGTGTGGTGGTGCACACCTATAATCCCAGCTTCTCAGGAAGCTGAGGCAGGAGAATCACTTGAGCCTGGGAGGCAGAGGTTGCAGTGGGACGAGATTGTGCCACTGCACTCCAGCTTGGGTAACAGAGCGAGACTCTGTCTCAAAAAAAAAAGTACAAAAGCAACAAGGGGCATCAGAATATAAAATCAGGGGAAGTGTTCCTCTTTACTGCTGGGATTCAGGTGTGCCTTGGGATTACATTCAAAAGTGAAAATACCAAACTGTTGGATTAGGAGCTCATTACTATTAAAATTGATTTGTGGGCCAGGTGTGGGCTGGCCTGTAATCCCAGCACTTTGGGAGGCTGAGGTGGGTGGATCACCTGAGGTCAGGAGTTCGAGACCAGCCTGACCAACATGGTAAAACCCCATCTCTACTAGAAATACAAAAATTAGCCGGGCGTGGTGATTGGCACCTGTAATCCCAGCTAGTTGGGAGGCTAAGGCAGGAGAATGGCATTGAACCCAGGAGGCGGAGGTTACAGTGATCCAAGGTCACATCACTGTAGTGATCACAAGGTCACACCAGCCTGGGTGACACAGTGAGACTCCATCTCAAAAAAAAAAAAAAAAAGGAAGAATCAAATCCTTTACCATCAAGATTGACTGAATCAAGATTGACTAGAAAGAGTCAAGAGTGCCAGATGGAAATACCTTTAATACTTGCATCTTCCCCACACTCTCCAGGGCCTCAGAATGGGCAGGGAAGAGGAAGGCTCATGGAGAAAGAGAAACTTAAGCTGTGTCCTTTAAAACACACAAAAATCCCTTCCAGGAGAATACTTATTTAAACTGCTTAAATTTTAAAAATTACAAACAGCAACCTATGGTATGGAAAATGTTGGAAAGACAGAACTGAGAAACTTTGTAGGCTGTTAATTTTGCAAACCACACATCCAGCAGTCTAGCTTTGTTCTCTACACATCGAATGACACCTATACCCCCAGAAGTCAGGCCCGCGGTTGAGTTTTACCTCATGGGAATGAGTTCCCAGAAAGACAACAATGATGCTCGCTGGTGAGTATTTCTAATCTGCCTCTGCCAAGTTCCCAGAAGCCTGAAAGACACAAGAGTATGTATAAATACTGATTCTCGAGACCAGGCGCGGTGGCAAACGTCTGTAATCCTGGCACTTTGGGAGGCCGAGGCGGGTGGATGGCGAGGTCAGGAGTTCAAGACCAGCCTGGCCAACATGGTGAAACCCCGTCTCTACCAAAAATACAAAAATCAGCCGGGCGTGGTGGCGGGCGCCTGTAATCCCAGCTACTCGGGAGGCCGGGGCAGAACTGCTTGAACCTGGGAGGCAGAGGTTGCAGTGAGCCGAAATCGCGCCACTGCACTCCCGCCTAGGCGACAGTGAGAAACTCTTGTCTCAAATATCTCATTCTCTCCCACTTCACAGGAAAATAAAAAATTACAATGCTCCCGAACCCGGGGCACTTGTAACTACTTGATGTGACAGCAAGGTCAACGTGAGAGATTTTTCAAAATCTTTCGTTCACACCACAGAGGACTTGGGCAGGACCCCTGCTCGCCAGGGTGCTCAGATTTTCATGCATAAGAGTCATGATCAGATATGGCTCATCCCTGAGATATTCGTGGACTGGGAAGCGAGCAGGGAGCACAGGCGAGTCCCGGCGGACAGGCGCAAAGACCCCGCAGGCGCCCTGGGCACTCCGCTACCCGGTCGGCGTCCACACTCACCCGCTCGTCGGGCGCAGGGTTAGCGAGACACCTCGCAGCACGTAGGCCGTCATGGCTACCCTCGCCGCTTCCGGGCGTGCGCCCCTCCGCAGTCCGACCCGCGGTGCCCCCTGCTGAGGTCCGGCAGACCAGCCGCCCAGCTCTCAGGCGTTCCGGCAGCAGGGGCTGGGACGCGCTTGTCCCCGCCCCCGACGCAGCCCCGCCTCGGGCGTCCGCTGCGCACACAAGAGCGCCTAGCGTTTCACGCGGCTGAGGGCCCTCCCTTCCGTCCCCGCCCTGGGCTGCGAGTGCGCCTCTGCAGCGGGCCCTGTCCCGCCAGCCAGGCCCTAGCCGGTTGGTCGGTCTGCGCCCTCGCGCGGGCCTCGACCCTGCAGTGCAACCGGAGCGGCCGAGGGGCGTCCCTCTGCTCCTCCGAGTCCAAATGTTCACGTCTAGGCAAACGGCCCCGATCTTCCAATAAACACGTCCGCCCCAGCCTCCCCGACCAGGGTTGGCTCGTTCCCCTCATTCGTTCGAGTCCGAAGCCAGGGTCACATTCCGGCGCCGGCGCGGAGCTTGGCGCTCGCAAGATGCCCAATAGCGCGTGTTGATGAATGACGGAAGCTAGTTAATAAGTCGGACTCAGACTGGCGAGGCAGAGCTGGTGACGGGCGGTCCACGCCACCTGGGCCCCGCCTGCCTCTGCGACCGGCCCGGGTTGCAACTCCAGGCCCCGCTCGCTGTCCGCCGTCCAGGCGAACCGCCCCTTCTGGGGCGCCCGCGCCCGGGCCCGGGCCCGACCCGAAGCCCCTGCCAGCCGAGGAGCCGGGGCGGCCCAGTCCGCGTGGGGAGCGGTTTCCCGCCGGGGCGATTTGGCAGGTGCGCGCCGTGACTTCCGGCGTTGCCCGGGAGCCGCCTGAGGAGGAGCGGCGCAGGGGATGCGGCTGTGGTGGCGGCGGCGGCGGCCGAGCGCGGGGGGCGGCTGTGGCGGCGGAGGGGGGCGCGGGCCGGCGATGGCGCGGCGGCCCTGAGGGCGCGGGGCGGGCGGCGGCCGGAGGGCGGGCGGCGCGGGAGGAAGCGGCGGCGGTGGCTCCATGGCCCGGGCGCGCTGAGGGACCCGGCTCTCGCCTCAGCCCGGCGGCGGCGGCGGCGGCCGAACAATGAAGCTCCTGAAGCCGACCTGGGTCAACCACAATGGTGAGTGCGCGCAGGGGTCCCGGGAGGCCGAACCCGCAGTCGGGTCGGGGTCTGGTGTCGAGTCGGGGCGCGCGCAAGTCCTGCCTGCCTCGCCCCTGACGCCCGGTACCCGGTGCCCAAGCCAAGAAGCCGGCGGGAGCGGACTTTGCCCTCAGCGCGGGGAGGCCGGTGAGCCCCAGCACGTGCTCCGGGTTGACCGCAGCGAAGGCCATCTTCGCCCCTGGCCCTTGCTCTGAGTCTTCCGCTGCCCACCTGTGGTCCCTGGAGGGGCCCCGGCCTGGCTCCCAGGAGCGGGCCTTGGTGCCGGCCAGTGCCTTCCACTGGTCTGCATCGCCCGGAAAGTACTCAGACAGTCCTGAAGGTGAAACCGGGACGAAATCCCCCTTGTGGCCTTTCAATGGCAGGGTGAAGATCTGAAATCTGCAAGAGGGACTGTTACTGCCCTTCTGGATCTGGTGACAGTGCCCCCAGTTGGGGAATTGTGGTCCCTGAATAGGAGGGCTTGGGGGCCCAGGGTCCTCGCCGAAGGATCCACGATTAATGCTGAGCTGGGACGTCAGGGTGAACTAGAGTTGGGCACAGGTGTGTTCTAGGAGAGGGGCTTCCTTAGCTCTGTGGCGGTGGCCTCTAAGCACACCCTTGGGGAACAGACTCATCCGCCCCGTATCTTGACCCTGATACAGAGAGGCTAGTGGTAATCAGTTTCGTCATAGTTCTGCCTTGTTGGCAGAACTGCTGCAAGAGTTGGTGTTTGCTCCCCAGGGAGATGAAAAAAAGCGCACCCCCCTCCCCCACCCCACTCTGCTGACAGCACTGTAGCACAGAAATCAACCCAGGGAGACTCCTGCAGCCCAGGGCGTGATTCTGGCCTGTCTCTGACTCTTGACAGGCAAGAGTCACCCTGATCAGGTCACCCTGATGCTGTCTTGTTCCTCATTTCTACTTTGCAATGCGACTAGAGGGTGCTACCGTTTTCTTTAAGAGCGAGAAGAATAGATACTTTAACATGTGGCTTTTTCGTTTTGAATTTGGTCCCAGAATGCGCTCTACTACCACAACTGAACTGAACTGATAATGTCTGTGTTCTCCTGCTACCTCTCTCCCTTTCCATCTTATGTGATGTCTTTCCCATTTTTCAGAGACTAGGTGAGGTCACATGTTTCTTTTGAAACGGTTCATCCTGAGTTACCCCGGTAGATGTGCTGTATCACTGTCTGTGTGTTTTGCCTTGCATGGACGGTGTTGGGGGTACTTTCCATATGCCCCCAGGGTAGGGACTGCCTCAATCCCTTCTGTATGCCCTGCTACATTGAGCAACCTCTTCCACATGATGGGTATGTGATAAATATTGGCTAAAACAGGTCAGAAAGGTGAGGTTTTCATAATTTATCAAGATGAAGTTAGGTTTACAGTGCATGAAAGCAGAAGTCTTGAGTTTCAGTTTCATTTCTCCTCTTGATCTCCAAGAGCGTTTCCTGATGTGTACTGTGCAGATCTTTCCCTGGAGAACTGGACAAATGTTGTAATTATGAATTATGATGCTTGTGATTAGGAAAGGAAAAATGTTATTATGAACTAGTTTACTGTGTAAAGGTCTGATGGAATTTTTATGTTAAAATGCTTTACCTAAATCAGTTTGTGTGAATAGCCTACCTTTCTCCAGCCTCTCCTCTACTGTCAGGTAACTTGTTCCTTTTTGATAAGCTCCTTTGTAGGCCAATAGTTTTATTTATGTAAACATAAGTAAGTCAACATGCTTAAGTGATGAACTAGGTACAAATGAATAAGAGACTACACTCAGATCAGCAGCCAAGTGCATCAGCCTGGTGGAGCAAGCACAACAGTGGCCCTTGTTGCTGAGGGCCTCTCTACAGCCCTAGAACAGAGCATGATAATATCTGTTCTAACCACTTCACAGTATGCTCGTGATACTCAGTTGGGAGCGTAGATACAAAAACGCTCCCCAAACTGTAAAGTGCTTTAGAAATCTGAGATAATAAGTAATAATAAAAAGAGGTTGGGCATGGTGGCTCACACCTGTAATCCCAGCACTTTGGGAAGCTGAGGTGGGTGGATCAAGAGGTCAAGAGATTGAGACCACCCTGGCCAATATGGTGAAACCCCATCTCTACTAAAAATACGAAAATTAGCTGAGTGTGGTGGCGCGCACCTGTAGTCCCAGCTACTCGGGAGGCTAGGCAGAAGAATTGCTTGAACCCGAGAGGTAGAGATTGCAGTAAGCCGAGATTGCGCCACTGCACTGCAGCCTGGCAGAGCAAGACTCCATCTCAAAGGAAAAAAAAAAGATATGGCGACTCTGGCAGGATGGGATTTAATTTTTTTAAACTTGTTCTTTGTCAAATTTCCTTTCTTTTAAAATTTCATGGAATGTTCAGAAGGACGGTCAGAGGTAAATTACCACTGCCCTGGAAGAAATGATGCTGGTCTGAATCACTGCTGAGCAGGCCTTTAAAGACTATAGGAGTATTGGTGGCTGCTGGGAGCAGGGGCTGCTCAGCCAATAGCCTAAGGGGTGGGTAGTGGCCAATAAAATTGTGCTTGCTTTTGGAAAGCACATCATTGCACTTTCTGGCTTCCTCGTTCTGTATTCATGTCTCCTATCTCGTGAAGCACGAACATAACTTTTTTTTTTTTTTTTAATAAAAGTGGGATCTTGCACTGTTGCCCAGACTCAAATGCCTGGGCTCAAGGGATCTTCCTGTCTCAGCATCCTGAGTAGCTGGGACTACAGGCGTGAGCCACTGCACCCAGCATAAACATAGTTTTTCTGTTTTTCGAGAGTCTGAAGGGGGAAGTAGCAGAGAGCTCAACATTTTTCTCTGGTGTGGCAGGGAATCCATTCAAAGTAGAGAGGGCAGCTATGACAGGGAAAGAAGTATTTGTTGAAGTGTAGGTGTGCTATGGTCTTCATTTTCTTGGCTGATAATAGAGAAACCTCTAAGGGAGGGTTTCCCAACTTCAGCAGGTTGACGTTTTGGGCCATAAGATTGTGTGATTGTCATCTATGTTATGGAATGTTTCTAGTATCCTTGGCCTCTACCCACCAGGTGCCAGTAGCACTTCACAACCACCACCTAGTTGTATCAACCAAAAATATCTCCAGTCATTGCCAATGTCCATTGGTAGCCAAAATCACCCCCAGTTGAGAAGCACTTGTCTAAGGTTATCAATAAGTTAATCTTGAAGTTGTCACATTGCAGTGAAATGAGCCTTGAATGTAGAATCAGACTGGGTTCAAAACTGCATCATTTACTAGCTATAAATTTTTGGACTTATAACTCTACTTCTGGGCCTTGGTAAAATAAAACTTACCTCTTCCATTTTATCCTGTGACCAAATATAAAAGATTGTTAAATTGAGATATATAATAATAGCTATCATTTATATAGAAGTTATGTGTGTCAGGTATTGTTCATACATACACATTTTACTTTGTGTTCTTGGATATAGTATTCTCTATATATTTTATTTTAGAATTGACCGAAATAAGCTTCATTTCTAAGTTAGATTAAGGTCAGAAAGTGAAAACAACTAGGTTTCTAGTTTTAAAGCTTGTAGAAATATGGAGTTTGTACGTTTAGAAAATCTCACTGAGATTCATGACTCTTCCCAACTCTGGGCCTTTGCTCCTGAGTTTTTTCTGGAATTCATGCTTGGGCAGACAGCTCTCATGCTCAGCTCTTTGGTGAAGCCCATTCTAACCAAGAGGGCCAGGACTGAAAGAACTCTTGTCCACCTTTGGCCTCTGGTTCACACTGTGATGGCAGTATTATGAAAAGGGATTTGGGAAATTTTCAAGAATAGGATAATTTCCCAGTAATCACATGACCTTATGGTGTGTGTTTTCTCCTGTCCTGCGACTGGATTATTTTTACCCCTACCTTGTGTCATTCTGAAAAGGATTTGAAGCTGTCCTACTGAGACCTCAGCATGAAAATTAAATAATTCAGCTTGAAGGGAAAATGTAGGCAGAATCGTATAATGATAAAGTCAGAAGTGGGTGGGTAAGATCCAGCCTGCTGCCAGAGGGCACTGCAGACCTATGTCTGATAATTGTCAGGGAAAGGATCCTAATGGTGAGGTTGTATGATTGCAGTGGTTGAGAGATAAACTTGGCAGTTGCTCTAAATCAGTGATTCTACAAGGCAATGTCTAGAGACATTTGTGGTTGTCACAACAGGGTTGGGCAGGGTAAGTGTTGCTGGCATCAAGTGGGTAGAGGAGAAATCTACTGTTAAACATCCTTATAGCATGCAGGACAGCCCACACATGGAGAATTGTCTAGCCCAAAATATCAATAGTGCTAAGGGTGAGAAACCCTGCTCTGAATAAGTTATTTGCCTTTTGGTGTATTTGTCTTACAGTTACGACTAGACTGTAAGTTTCTTGAGGACAAGAATTTTGTCTTCTGTTTTTGGAATCAGATATCCTGCTCTGGAGTCTCTGTGCCCTGCTGCTTACTAGATATGTGACAAAAAGTTTTTCCATCTCTTTTCCTAATCTGTTCATGAAGTCAATAATTCTTGCCCCACCTGCTCCATATGATAGCTCAGAAAATGCAGATTCTCTCAGCAATTTCTCTCCTGACTTATGCCTGAAGACAGTAGGCTGATTTAGGAAAATAACCAGAGTACATCTGAAGAGTCAGAAGAAAACTGGGTGAGATTTTGCTGTGGATTTTTCACTAATTTATGCAACAAACATTGAACCTAGAAGGTAAGAGTTCTGGGGGGTCCGGGGTAAATAAGGCTCTCTCTGAATGGAAAGCTGTGTGGAAGATAGATGAGAGATTGACATACAAACCGTATTCTAGAATGCAGGGCAGGGGAAACAGGAGCTAGAGGAATAAGCATGATAGCCCAAGGAGGAAGGGCACTTCTCCAGCAGAGTCGGGTTTGTGGATGTGTCCTTGGACTGAACCTTGACGTGACTAGAATTGTGATGGCAGAGAAGGTGCTACAGCACATGAGACCATCAGG